GTCATTAAATTAAATGGTTAAGCAGAGTTGGCTCGTGTTATTTTCTTATAGGCACCTTAATTTTAATGTCAAATCAAGTATGCATATTAAGTCTCCAAAAATTATTTGCTGTTTTTTCTTTTTAAGTAAAATAAAGCTTTTTAGACTGCAAAAAGCAAATAGGACGTTCTTTTTAGCTTCTCCTTTCAAAATTTGCAATTTGTGCGAATAAACACAAAACAACACTAAGTTTTTTATTGGCAATCTTGGCAAAAAGGTAAATTTTTATTACTTAACTTGTAAATTTAGCTTATGGCTTTTTCCTGGGTTTTATTTTAGTCGTTTACCATGAAGCTCACGCTTTCTAAAACTATGAAGTTTGAGCTATCACGCGTTGGTAGTCTGCCTAGGAGTGGATGTATTAGCGAAGTATGTAATTATTCCAATGTCACCTTCGACACGCCAAACTGCCTTCTTTACACTAAATTCGGTACTTTCCTTTATAAAGTCCTATTTTAGGCGCTGTTCCCTTTCTTACAAATGATATCGTGAGACAGATTCCTGGTCTACCGGGCCTTACATTCGCTTCCATGAATTTTTTGTAAGATCAACTCAGAATCTCTTTTTTTAGACGTGAACGTCTTGAGGTATTTAAGAAGTTTGGCAGGGGCTTGGCTCAATTTTCTGGCTTAGGGGTATGTTCGATTTTATTCCTTACTCTAAAATATTGAAGCTCCCGGTTGTTCTCTTTCAGAATGACCCTACCGAAGATGCTGTAACTCGTGCTGTTGACAAAACATCTGTCCAAGTGTGGGCTGTTGGGGGCCGTTTGCCTGTGACCATGGAACAGTATGCGGACTGTGTTGTCAGTGCACTGCCCGTGGCTTTTCAGATGCCGGTCGATAATGAAACTGCTTTTCATGATATATCCCCACCGACGAAGAAGCGTTGTCAAAAGTCAGTACAGCGAACAAAGTTCTATGCGGACATGATCGAGAAGTTCGTGATGTCAAATGAGGTTAGTCACTGATGCCTTCACGAAGTTAAGCATAAATCTGGTCTACTAACGCCTGTTTTGGTTTCGTTCCTAGAAACTTCGGGAAATCCCGGCCCTTATTTCCATAGCTGGTGGGAACGATCTTGATCAGCGTCTCCGCGGAATCGCTTCGTCAGATTTTAGCCGTGGATCCGGTTCGAACTTTGTTTTCCCTTCTTAATGGTTGTATTCTTAATTTGATTTATTTCGATTCGCACTGGTACCTATCGTAGCATTATTTAGGCCACCTTCTTTAGCGGTTATCAACGTAGTTGCCCCTATCCGAACATATTTTGAGAGTCCTCAGCACTTGGAGAATTTCATTCATTTAGAATTATTGCATTCATTACTACACACTAGCTATAATGTACTTATGGCTCGAAGAATCGTGGGGTAGCGCTTCTCAGTCATAACCTCTACTTCTATGCTTCCATTTTACTCGAAACCCCATGAAAATACATGTGTATTTTTTAGACATGCTTCCGTAGTGCCCTTGTTTTTGAAGTCCTGTTATTTTTAGCTTCATTCCCTTTTAACTTTAGGCGTTGTACTCGACGGTTTTTTCCATGAACCTCTTGGGGGAAACCGGTTATCTCATCTGGAAACCGTTTTTACAATCCTTACTTCCGCCTGTTCTCGTCTTCCTGCTCACCTTCCACGCTTTCTCACAAATCTGTGGCAGCCTGACGAAGTCGTCCGCGCCTGTCTCTGTGGAGTTGACCTCTTCGATGGCAGTCTACCCTTCCGTCTCACTCGCAGTGGTATTGCCTGGGTTTACACAGCATTTCGCAAGGAATTGGTGTCATATCCTTGGATATGTTTCCCACTGAAGGCGGAAGAATTGAAGCCTGCGGTTTATCGCCAACCGATCCAATCCGATTGCCCGTGCTTCGCATGTCAGCGGCACAATCAGGGATATGTGTCGCACTTGCACAGCGTGAACGAGATGCTGGCTCATATTCTTCTGATGATGTATGGTGGCTTATTTTATCAATATTTAAGGAATTACCCATGCTGTGAAGTATTAGTTCTGTCAAGATGCTAAAGCAGCAACTCTAGGGGTACGATTTTCAAATTCGATGTGCTTTTAGCTTTATGTAATGATCCCCAAACTATGCTTAATTTACAACTTAGTCCA